AAGAAAGAAACGCAAGCTTTCTTGGGTGCTGTGGGGTTCTGGAGAATGCACATCCCAAATTACAGTTCGATTGTAAGCCCTCTCTATCATGTGACCCAGAAGAATGATTTTAAATGGGGCCCTGACCAACAACAAGCCTTTGAGCACATTAAACGCGAGATAGCTCACGCAGTAGCATTGGACCAGTCCGGACCGGGCCAGATGTAAAAAATGTACTGTACACTGCAGCTGGGGAGAATGGTCCTACCTGGAGCCTCTGGCAGAAAGCTCCAGGGGAGACTTGAGGTCGACCCCTCGGCTTTTGGAGTCGGGGATACAAAGGATCTGAGAACAATGGATACTATTGCCCAGGTTATTCATGAGCATGAAACATGTGCTGCAATTAAACAAGCCAAATGGTTAAAGCCTCTTTGGTATGGGGGACGATGGTTAAAGTATAAATATGGGGAGGTCTGGCAGATTAACTATATCACACTGCCACCAACCCGCCAAGGCAAGCGCCATGTGCTTACCATGGTGGAAGCAACTACCGGCTGGCTGGAAACATACACTGTGCCCCATGCCACTGCCCGGAACACTATCCTGGCCTTGAGAAACAGATTTTGTGGCAACACAGCACCCCAGAGAGAACTGAGTCAGACAATGGGACTCATTTCCAGAATAACCTTATAGATATTTGGGCCAAAGAGCATGGCATTGAGTGGGTATATCACATCCCTTACCATGCACCAGCCTCTGGGAAAATTCAACAGTACAATGGGCTGTTAAAAACTACACTGAAAGCAATGGGGGGGGGGGGGAACTTTCAAGCACTGGGATACACACTTACCAAAGGCCACCTGGTTGGTCAACACCAGAGGATCTGCCAACAGGGCTGGCCCAGCCCAGTCAGAACTTTTACATATTGTAGAGGGGGCAAAGCTCCCATGGTGCATATGAAAAATTTGCTGGGGAAGACAGTCTGGGTTATTCCTGCTTCAGATAAAGGCAAACCCACTGGGAAGATGGGGAAGTCCGATGTATACCTTAAGGGGATTTGATTTTAGGGGAAAACAGCCAATGAACTTAATTGTATGCTGTTGCCTGCTGTGTAATAAATACTTTTATAGCCCATCAACTAGATGTCTTCAGGTCACCAGCAACTAGCCCTGACTTCCCTCAAACCATCATCCCAACAGAGAATGAACTTTGATAGAACCGGACGAGTTCTGCAGTAAAGGAACAACCAGCATCAGCAGGCAACAATCCAATACTGCACACAGGCTTTCCTGCCCTGAAAGACTGTTACAAGAGATGGAACCTGACATCATGGACTGAATGGACTCGGCAGCATTATAGGGATTGGTCCATGCACTAAGAAAATGACCTCTTTCTCTTGGCCTGTGTGTATATGGATGTATATATGTGGGAGAGCAATGGTGTATTGAAAATGTGGGATCTGAGCATGACGTGAATGGTATGGAATAAGGGGTGGATACTGTCCTGGGTTTAGCAGTAGCAGTCAATTTTTCTCCTTCGTGGTAGCTGGTGCAGTGCTGTGTTTTGACTTCCAACGTGGGAACAGTGCTGGTGATATTGATGTTTTCAGCTGTTGCTAAGTGATGTTTACCCTGACCAAGGACTTTGTGAGGCTCATGCTCTGCCAGGGAGGAGGGGAAGCCGGGAGGAAGCAGACGGGGCGCCTGACCCAAGCTAGACAAAGAGGTATTCCATACCACAGCACGTCATGCCCGGGGTGGGGGGTAACTGGGAGTTACCCAGAAGGACACGGGGGCTTCTGGGTCGGACTCGTTTCCCAGCAGGTGGTATTGTATTCTCTTCCCTTGCTATTTTCTCTTATCATTATTGTCACTGGTGGTAGCAGCGTTGATTTGTGTTGTACATTGGTTGCTGGACTGTTCTTGTCTCAACCCATGGGAGTTGCACTCTTCCGATTCTCCTCCCCATCCCTCTGGGAGCAGGGAAGGGGAGAGCCTCCGGGGGGGGCCTCGATTGCTTCCAGCCCGGCACCACTCACAGGGAGTGAGTCCACAAGCTGTCTGGCTAGGGTTTAAACCACGACAGAAGTACAAAGACCAGGGGTACAATTTAAAGCTATTAATTTTTTAAATATTTAGTAAAATTAACTTAATGATTTCATGAGAATCAGGAATAAGACTATACACAGTATTTAATGCACTTTTGCAGGTTCTAATTACAGGAGGTTTTCATTTCCTCAGGGCTCAGAGGTTTGACACTGTTCCACAAAACTCTTAAAAATCATTGCTTACAATAAAAATCTCAAGGTGGTATGCCGTACTGAGAAGAGGGGCAGACCTAGACCACCATCTTAAAAATACCACAGGAAGTTGCACAAGATGGACATTTTAAAAACTACTGTAGTAGTAGAAGCTAAATACTGTTTTATCTATTTTATGACTATTCTTCCCTTTTTGTTACAGCTGATATTCAAAACCAGCACTTTCTCATCTAATCTGTTTTTATTCACAGCTGGACAGACAACTGCTATAAATTGCCAATAATCTGAATCACAAAAGAACAGGTCAAGACCACCAAGGTTATCAAACACACAAGAGGAAGTCAGCCACAAAAATTAAGCGCACAAATCTCCTTGGAAACCTGGCTTTCAATGTGCACGAAACACCAGAACCTCTACCATAGTCTCCAAATCTTCTACTACTGTAATCTTGACCAGGGACCTCCTCTTCCAGGATACTATAATGCAGACTGAGAGTTCCCATCAGGGAGTGCCCAGCTCCACTGGTGAGTCACAGGCCTGTCAATGCAGGCAGGTTAGGCACCCAGTTGTAGGAAAGGCAGAGGGTGTTCACAGCTACTCAACTGCTGTTAGGTTGTCTGGCTTTTCTAAGGAAAACTGTGTCCTAGAAAAGATGATAAAGATGACTCTGCATTTCCTCATTGCACACTCAGCCTTGAGATACATATTACACTACTGGCACACTGAAAGCCCTTCTGAGATTTAGTAATTAAAAAAAAAAAAAAATCACCATAAAACTGCAAAGGAAAGCATCTTAAACAAGCTTTGGAATTCCCCTTCTATTTCTACCACTCCACTGTAAGCCAGCATCTCTGCTTGCATCAATGTAATAATGGAGTAAGGACAAGGTATTAGTTTGTAATTATAGCTATAACCAGCATTTTCAATCAGCTAATATACAGCAGTACCTAACAGAATTCCCTTCATCATGTTTTTGTTCACTAAAAACCTAAGGCTTTGCTTAAATGGCAAAGTCTCTGTAGGGTATGGTTATAGAGGATGTGACCAACCTGAGTGCAAGGCACCAGGAAAACTGCTTGTGTTTTCAAAACACAACTTCGAAGCATATTCTACTTCTTTCATCTGAGGGTTTGCTGTACTCACATGAAGCAAAATCAGCTTTTTTGCTTCTAGGGAGGTTGCTACATCAACTAGACTTCAGCACTGCTCTGTAGTCTTAGACTGAGGTAACTGATGTGCTAGACTAGGCTGGATTACGACAGGTTTGTTTTACAACAAGCTATTTACTGGCATTGTGGTTTTTTACCTTAAAATTGCATAATGCAATGTAAAAGTAGCATATTCTACTAGCAATAAAAGCAGGCCTTTGAAAGAAGTGAAGTCAGATCTTGAAAGCCAGTATTTAACATATCAAGCCTCTTTACTGCTAAAACATGAAAAATAAAAAAGGGGAGATTCCCTGTGAGGTTTACAGATAACAATTAACCACCAAGTCCAACAAACTGGATATACTAGATGTAAACTACCAATGGAGAAGTCAGCAGGCATATGACCATTTTTATTGCTCCTAGTCCATACCAGGTAAAAATACTCTTCCAAAGTCCCAGTATGTTGTGGCCTACCACCCGGGCATGGATCTAAACCGCATAAAACCCCAGCATACCTGCATTATGCAGTTGCACATTCCAAGGAGCCTGGGCACCTGCAATCAAGTGGGTAAAGCTCAGAAGAGTACTGCTACGCTACCTAACATGTGGACACGGTTCCTATTCAACCCCTTTCATGAAGGACATAACATGTAACACTGTGTACAACTCTCAATAGTGTTAAAAATTAAATGCATGTTCTCTTTTGACCTGAGCTATTAGACAGCAACCTCTGATTTTAATGAACTGATCCACTCTGAGGTGAAACTTACAAACCAGACTGAACATATTTCTTCCATAATTTACTTGCAACAACTCTGACCAAACAGGCAAAACCCTGTTCTTTGCTGGCAGTGCTTGGCTGGAAAGTGCCCCCCCTTCTGAAGTCAGTATCAAGGGCTTGTCTGGACCCCCCCCCGACTCACACTCTTCATCTTTGCACTGAAATTCCCAATTTCTCCAGGTTTTTTTTGACACGCACATTTATACAGCACCATGGAGTCGGCCTGATAGATGCACACCCTGCATCACTCACCTTACAAAAAGTACAAACACCAGGGATTGACAGACACCTTACCGTAAAGACATGTACCTATTTATTGAGGGCGCCATAAAGGCAGTAACCAGAGAGCAGGAACACGTTCAAAACACACCGACGGCGCGGTGCCACCGAACGGGTTGGCATGCCACTTCAGCACTTCCCCGGCAAATCTCTGTCTCGCAACCCAAAGAGCTCAACCGGTACAGGGTCTCCTCGGTGGGACAAGAGGGCACAGACCTCTGGCAGGGGAACTATCATATCTGTGCGTGAAGTCGAACAATGCGCGACCCAAGCCACAGCCCATCGTCCAGGCGCAAAGCCAGGGGCCTCCGCTTCCACTCCGGCTCCCTGTGCCCGCGGAGAACGGCGGCAGGGACGCGTAGCCGGGGGCCCCAACCGCGGCGCTAGCTCACGAAGGGCTCCAGGACAGGGCAGAGTATCAACGGAGCCGCCAGTTACGGGCTCGCCGCCCCTCTCCGCACCCCTCGGGGGACCCATGCCGACAGTCAGCCTCCTGCCCACACCGTCCCGTCCCGTTCCATCCCCCCTCCCCGTCCCGTCCCAGCCCCGCTACCTGCGGGCGGCTGCTCGCCCTGGGAGGCTGCGCTCCGGCGGGGTGCCATCAGCGCCGCCAGCGCCAAGAGGGCCACCGGCACCCGCATGGCGCCCGCCGAGGTGGAAAGCTCAAGCCACCGCCTTTCCTGGTCCCCCGCCGCTCCCCGCTCGGCTCCCTCTCGCGCCTGCGCGCTGAACTCCCAGCCGGCGAGGCCGGAAAGGGACAGACGATTCCGCTCACAGCGGGACGCGTGGAAGCGTGGGGTAACTGGCGGGCATCGTGGGCAGGGTTTGGGCAGGGGCAGGGGCGGGGTGGGTTGGGTTTTGTGTCTCGGGGCGCCATGATGCCTATGGGGCTGTAAGGGCGGAGTTACAAGGACTGTTAGCGCACGCGTCATACCTCTAAACCCCAGCCGCCCGCCGAAAAGCTATCACCCTCCTCCTAATCACGCTGGGGCTTGAGCGCTCTCCCGGTCTCTTAAAGTACACAAAGTGTCCATCCTGTGAAGTTATTTCAGAAACACTGCTTTGAGTTCATACGTGTAGTGGAGTTGTCATGTACACTGAGAGATTTTATTTAACCTGAATTTACACGCACTTCAAAAAACTAAATGAAGTGCTGCCAAGCAAGATGGAGATGCTGCTTTTTCCATGCCCCTGTTTCCGTGTCACAGTATCACAGTATGCTAGAGATTGGAAGGGACCTCAAAAGATCATCTAGTCCAATCCCCCTGCCGGAGCAGGAACACCTAGATAATGTTACACAGGAATGTGTCCAGGCGGGTTTTGAATGTCTCCAGAGAAAGAGACTCCACAACCTCCCTGGGCAGCCTGTTCCAGTGTTCAGTCACCCTCACTGAGAAGTTTCTCTCAAGTTTAAGTGGAACCTCTTGTGTTCCAGTTTGTACCCATTACCCCTTGTCCTATCATTGTTTGCCACTGAGTAGAGCCTGGCTCCATCCTCGTGACACTCCCCCTTTATATACACTAATAAGGTCACCCCTCAGTTTCCTCTTCTCCAAACTATAGAGACCCAGCTCCCTCAGTCTTTCCTCATAAGGGAGATGCTCCACTCCCTTAATCATCTTCGTTGCCCTGCGCTGGACTCTCTCCAGCAGGTCCCTGTCCTTCTTGAACTGAGGGGCCCAGAACTGGACACAATATTCCAGATGCGGTCTCACCAGGGCAGAGTAGAGGGGAAGGAGGACCTCTCTCGACCTACTAACCACCCCCCTTCTAATACACCCCAGGATGCCATTGGCCTTCTTGGCCACAAGGGCACAGTGTTGGCTCATGGTCATCCTGTCGTTCACTAGGACCCCCAGGTCCCTCTTCCCTACACTGCTCTCTAACAGGTCGTTCCCCAACCTATACTGGAACCTGGGGTTGTTCCTGCCCAGGTGCAGGACTCTACACTTTCCCTTGTAATATTTCATCAAGTTATTCCCTGCCCAACTCTCCAGCCTGTCCAGGTCTCGCTGGATGGCAGCACAGCCTTCTGGCGTGTCAGCCACTCCTCCCAGCTTAGTGTCATCAGCAAACTTGCTGACAGTACACTCAATTCCCTCATCTAAATCATTGATGAATATATTAAATAATACTGGTCCCAGTACTGACCCTTGAGGCATTCCACTAGTTACAGGCCTCCAACTAGACTCCGCCCCATAGACTACAACTCTCTGGCTTCTCTCCTTCAGCCAGTTCACAGTCCACCTCACTACCTGATCATCCAGACCACACTTCTTCAATTTAGCTGTGAGGATGCTGTGGGAGACTGTGTCAAATGCTTTGCTGAAGTCAAGGTAGACCACATCCACTGCTCTGCCATCATCCATCCACCATGTTATTTCCTCATAAAAGGCTAAGAGGTTGGTCAAACATGATTTCCCGTTGGTGAAGCCTTATAACCCTCTTATCCTTGATATGCCTTAAGATGGCACCAAGGATAAGGTGTTCCATCACTTTCCCAGGGATGGAGGTGAGGCTGACCGGTCTATAGTTACCCGGGTCCTCCTTCTTGCCCTTTTTGAAGACTGGAGTGACATTTGCTTTCCTCCAGTCCTCAGGCACCTCTCCCGTTTCCCAAGACTTGGTAAAGATGATGGAGAGTGGTCTAGCAATGACTTCCGCCAGTTCCCTCAGCACCCGCAGGTACATCCCATCTGGACCCATGGATTTATGGATGTCCAGATTGCTCAACTGGTCTCTAACGTATTCCTCATCGACTAAGGCAAACCGCTCCATTGACCTGACTTCATCTGAGGTCTCAGGGGTACAGGGCTCTTCAGGACTGCCTGCAGCAGAGTACACAGAGACAAAGAAGGCATTCAGTAACTCTGCCATCTCTGTATCTTCTGTCACCAGGGCACCCATCCCGTTCATCAGTGGGCCTACATTGCCTCTGGTGTTAGTTTTATCTGCCATGTATTTGAAAAAGCTCTTTTTGCTGTCCTTGACCCTTCTCGCCAGGTTTAATTCTAAGGAGGCCTTAGTCATCCTAGCTGCCTTCCTACATCCTCTAGCAGCAGCCTTATATTCCTCCCAAGTGGCCAGCCCCTCCTTCCATGACCTGTAAACTCTCCTCTTCCACTTGAGCATACCCATCAATTCCCTATTTAGCCACGCAGGTCTCTTGGCCCTCTTCCTTGACTTCCTACGTGTCGGGATGCTCCGATCTTGAGCTTGGAAAAAGCAATCCTTGAATGTCAGCCAATTATCTTGGGCCCCTTTACCTTCAAACAGCCTTGCCCATGGGATTTCCCCTAGCAATTGCTTGAAAAGGCCGAAGTTTGCCCTGCTAAAGTCCAGGGTTGCAATTCTACTTGCTATTCTATTAGTCCTACCACACAAGATCCTGAACTCCAGCATCTCGTGGTCGCTGCAACCAAGGCAGCCCTCAACCCTTACTGCTTCGACCAGATCCTCCTTGTTAGTGAGGATGAGATCCAGCAGCGCTCCTCTCCTGGTCGGCTCATCCACCATTTGCAGGAGGAAGTTATCATCCATACGCTGGAGGAACCTCCTGGACTGTGGCTGGGTTGCTGAGTGGTCCTTCCAGCAAACATCAGGGAAGTTAAAATCCCCCACGATGACCATGGCCTGTGACTGTGAGGCCGCTCTCAGCTGCCTGTAGAAGGCCTCGTCAACTTCCTCACCCTGATCTGGTGGTCTGTAACAGACACCCACAACAGTATCGCCCCTGCCAGCCTGCCCCTTAATTCTCACCCCCAGACTCTCAACTCGCTCGTCATCTGTCCCTGGACAGAACTCGGTGCATTGTAGTTGCTCCCACACATAAAGAGCAACCCCACCACCCCTCCTGGCTGGCCTGTCTTTTCTGAAAAGGACACAGCCCTCCATGACTATATTCCAGTCATGTGAGCTGTCCCACCACGTCTCTGTAATTGCCACCAGATCATAGTCTCCTGACTTAACACAGGTTTCCAACTCCTCCTGCTTATTTCCCATGCTGCGCACATTGCTGTACAGACATGCCAGGGAGCGAGCTGAGCACACCGATTTCACCCTAGGATTATAGGAGGCCTCCCAGTCTTCATCAATTCTGGAGTGCTGCCCCACTGAGGCAAGCCCAGCTACAACCCCATCCCCCTTCGAATCTAGTTTAAAGCTCTCCAAATGAGCCCTGCTAATTCGTGTCCCAGCATCCTTTTGCTCTGTGAGAAAATCCTTTCCCACTTGTCATTGTCCAGAATGGTGCCCTATAAAACCAGCTGTTATCAAAGAATCCAAAGCCCTGCCTGTAGCACCAGTCTCGAAGCCAATCATTTATGAACTGAATCTTCCCATTCCTTCCCACATCATCAGTGGAAGATGGAAGGAGTGAGGAGAAGATCACTTGAGCCCCAGACTCTTTCACCATCCGCCCCAAGGCCCTGTAGCCTTTCTTCATCCCCCTCAGACTGCGGGAAGCAGCTTCCCCCTCACCTGTCTGGAATACCAGCAGCGGGTAGTAGTCTGTCGGGTGCACCAGGTTGGGGAGCGCCCTGGTGATATCCCTGATCCGGGCTCCAGGCAGACTACACACTTCCCTATGATGAGGGTCAACTCTGCATATCGGGCCCTCTGTTCCTCTCAGAAGGGAATCACCTACTACAATGACCCTTCCTTCTTTCTTATCAGAGGCAGTCTTGAGGTGCAAAGTCGGCCGCCTTTTCCTATGTGGCCTTGTAGGCAGGCCTTGTCCCACATTCTCACCTACCTCTCCTTCAAGATCCAGGGCCTCGAACCTATTACAGAGGGACACCTGGGGAAGCAGGGCAGGAAGGGGAGAGGGTTTCCCACGACGCTGAACTGGAACTCGCTTCCAACCCTCGTCGTCTTTTTGGTCCCCTACCTCTGTGCAACAGCTACAGGGCAGGGGGTGTCTCGGGCCATCCCCCTCTGTCTGAGAAGGCAGGGGGTCCTTCCCCTTTTGGGGGGTATCTCCCTGGAACCGTTCCGACTGGCACACCAGGGAGTTACTCCACCAGTCGATCTCCCTTTCACACTCCCTGATGGTCCTCAGCGTCTCAACCTCCTCCTTAAGTCTTGCCACCAGGCTAAGCAGATCTTCTACCTGCTCACACCTCACGCAGGTGGAATGCTGTCCTCCCTCCCCCGGCAGCAGCAGGCTCTGGCACTCCCTGCACCCAGACCCCTGAACAGCCATGGTTTGGGACAGGGTCTCTGTCTGAGTTGCTGCAGTCATCTTACTGCAAGCTCTCCTTCTGGAGGCGACCATATTGGTCAGCAGTCTGGGACACCAGCAACAGGGGCAGCAACACGACCTGCTTGTTCCTCCCTGACCTGGTGGGCAGCGACCTGTCGCTGCGCTCTCAGAGGCTCTTTCAAGGCAAGCGGTAGGGGAGTGGTCACGGTCACCGTGCCGGCTGTGGCTCTAGCTAGGCTAGCTCCGATCAGCTGACTGTCTCCCACCCATTGTCCAGTGCTAGATAATTATGCACATTAACCATTCAACCTCAAGGTCACCCTGGGCCAGGTGAAGAGGACGCAGGGAAAACCTCTTCTGCTATGCAGCTCCCCAGCTGTAAGGAACATGTAGCAGCTTCTTAGGCTCTTGTCAGAGATTCTGCACATAACCTTTTCTAGACCTAAAATGGA